TATAGATTAATCTTGTACAAATCGTCATCATGATCAATGAGAAATGAAAACAATCACACAAAATCATTATGTATTTATGTATCATTTCAGCATACATCATACATTCGAATGTGAATTCCCGTCCCGTTGTAAAACTGGTTACAAGAAAAGAATTATTGCACCCCACCCCCCGATTCACATGCCATGGATTTTTGAATCTTATCATAGTAAAGCAGCAAAAGAAAAATGACAAGAAAATTGTTTTTTTTCTTGCATTCATTCAATCCATATTTTCTTTTTATTTCATTCACAACTTTTAAATTCTGTACAATATATTCTTATTTTTTTTTGCTCAATGCCAGACATTATATTCTGGTTATTTTATGAAAAAGATATTCAGTATTATGATTCTTGTATAGAATATACGAATGGTTGGGTTTTTTTTCGTTCTGATAATAATGTCGAATTATGTAGAATGTCATCCAGTGAGAAAAAAAAACAAAATTTGATTCAAACCATTCATAGTTTATATTAATAAAAAAGTGCAGAATATTTTCTCTAAAAACCCCTCATTTTATTTTATTTATTTTCATTTTCGTTGCTATTGCTATCGGCTATAATGTTTTTTTTTCATTCGTTTTTATTGTGTGCATTCATGTGTGAGTGTTGTATGTATGAAGCGAATCAAAGAATCGCCGACAGAATCCTTTTTTTCAAACAACAACAAAATTGAACGAAATAAGATTATATTATGCCGAATATATTGTCACTGACATTCAATATAGATCTATCCATCTATCCATCTATTCAAGTCTTTAATATCCGTATGTTTGTTAGTCGAACAAAAAATAAAATAAAAATAAAATGAAATTTAATGTTCTGAAATTGAATGTGAATATGAATCATGAATAAGAAATTAGTACGATTAGACAGAATATTCTGTAGAAAAAATGCAAATGCTTAACCCATACTTATTAGTAGCCAATTGTTGACTTGAAAAAAGAATAATGTAAAGAGGAGAAAAAACATAAAACTAGCCACTTTTTGTGTGTGTATGTGTTATCCAATTCCGGTAAAGAAATTGTCATTTTTTTCATTCTTGTATGATATTGCCATGATGACATAACGTTATTATATACAGAAAAAAATAATGGACCAATATCATTCCTGCTGTGTGCTGCGGTACACATTTTTTCCATTTGTCTATTTTCTATCTCAATAATAAATTCGATTTTAACTATTTATTGAATAGAATCCAAACCTCAATTGGATTTTTTTTTTGAAAAAAAGAACCAGTAAATCAGACAAAAAAATGAGACATCTGAAAACATCTGATTTTGTGTATTGTAAAACTAGAAAAATAAACGATGATTGATCAAATTATATAATAGAATATTTAATGGACGTATTACAAACAGTGGTATGTATCAAGCTTTGATCAAGATCGTATTTCACATTCAATGAAACTGACACAATCCACAACATTATCAAATTGATGATCTTGATTCTCGATTAAATTGAAATGAAATAATCGTATTATATCGAAAATACGAATGTCATATTCACAAACAGAATAGGAAAAAACCAGACTACCATCAACGATTATGATTTGGTGAAATAAACAAAAAAAAAATTTTAATCTTCTTAAAACGAATCTATCTATCTTTGGGCAATTTTTCCACTATAATTTCACCACAAACACGCACATATTTAGGAAAAAAAACCATTATCATCATCATCAAATTCTATAATTCTATTCACATTTTTTTTACTATTTCATTCATTGATTTTATTAAAATTATTATTAATTCACTCAAAACACATGCAGAATTTCCATATTATCATTATACCAATCTGGATTCAGAAATTTGAAAGTTTGAAACAAAATAAACAATATTCCTATAGGTTCAGTGGACTATAGCAAAAAGCATTAAAATGTGTGTGTGTGTGTGTGGCAATTTAGGCACAATGAAACTTTTTTTTGTATTTTGATGAAAAATTAAATTTTATTCCATTTTTTTTTATTACAGAGAATTTTAATAATGGTCACGCTTTTTTATCATCATCATTTATTATAACTGTGAATAGCTGTCAATAACTTGAAAAGTAATTTTTTCTCTTATGATTTATCCAGAATTCATTGACTTTGTTGATCTTTAAACTTTCTCAGTTCTATGTGTTAATGTTTGTTTGTTGGTAAAGAAATCAAGTTATGAAAAAATTACAAAAAATCAAAATGAAAAAAAAACAAAACAAAAAAAAATCAATCAATATAATCAACTCACGAACAAAACATCAACAAAATAAAATGCAATTCAATAGAAAGAATTTGATTCACTGAATTAGATTCTACAATCCTATGTGATGAGATTGATTTTCTCACCATTAAAATGAAATGAAAATGAAAAAAAAATGAAATTGCAGCGAAAAAAATTTATTCAACACCATTTTCCAAACATAAAAAAAAATAAAAAGACATTTTTTTCCCGTAAATCATTTTCAATTCGAAATATTTTATTCTTTTTTCTTTTTTGCTTCTTTTCATTGAATCATCAGATTCTTCTCTCTCCATCTCTCTCTCTTTTTCTCTTTTTCTTTTCTGTATAACTGTCGTCTAATATTAATATTATTGAATTTTTATTTCAATTTCATATTTGTTGTATATAATACAAACAAACAGAAAAAAATACTTGAAGAAAATATTTCATTATATGATTGTGAAAATATTATCATCATTATCATTATGTTTATTGTAATACAAATGGGTATAAATATTTCATGAAATAAAATCATCATCATCATCATCATTCACACATTCTATTCAAATAATAATTCTGATTCGATAACATTCAATTGGATTTGTTGATTTTCTCCACATTTTTTTTTTCATCGTCATTTTTTTCCTTAATATAATTTTTTTTTCTCATTTCCAAAAAGAATATATTTTTTTTTCTTTACATATTAATTCAAGTCGAATTTTCAATGCCTTGTTTGTATGTGTGTGTGTGTGTTTACTATCATTGATTGTTTCAGTAACGCTATTTTTCTATTTCTTTTTCAATCATCATTCTTACTAAAATTCTTGGCTTATTGCCATCGTCATCGCAACGATTATTATGATGATGACAATCGAAACCTTACTTGGTGTATCAACACAAACACATACACAAAAAAAACATTTAATTGATTTCAATTTATTTTTATACGACAATATCATTTTTGTTGTCGATAATATAACTCATATAAAACGAATAGTTTTTTTTTTGATTTGTCTTTCGTTCTCTATCTCTTTCTCTATATCTCTCTTCGTGTGGATCCATTCTTTTGTCAAAGTTTTTTTTTGTCCAATCAAATTCCAATGACTCAAAAAAAAATTGTAAGATTACAATTCTAATTGCTATACTTGATGATGTAAGTGTATCGAAAATGAATCTTATTTGCTTGCTTCATCGGGTTAAACAAGAAATATCCAAGTAAAGAAAAGAATTGAACCGAACAATTGAAAACGATGATGAAAAGAAAAGAAAAAATTTATCTGCTTGATTTGTTTTTTATTATTTAAGAAAAAAGAGCTTTTGTTATTGCCTGTTGTTGTTGTTGTTGCTTAGTTGTATTTTAATCTTTTATCATCATCATCATCATCATCATACATTTAGTTCACTTAGATTTTCTCATTTATAGTTGGTTTTGTCGGTATTGTATGATTGTATTGATGATGACAATGGTCATTTCTATTATATATGATTATTACATTGTAAGTCTGTAGTGTGTGTGTGTGTGTATTTGAATCATCCAAATTCAATTATCACTATAACCATCATCAATTTTCATGATGGAAGACTTGAAAGCAAAAAAAAACACCCATGATGATGATAATAATCCTGACTACATTTATTTATTGTTAATTTATATGAAGAAAAAGTGAGAAAAAAAATAAACTCTTTACCTTCATCTATATATTGAAAGCAATTGAATTTACATTCTCTTTAGTATAATTCAGATCCACAATAAAAAAACGAGGACGAGAAAACCACGAAAAACTTGTATATTTTATTTGTGAAATGCATGGATTTTTCATAATAAATAAAAAAATAAACATTAAAGTATTGAATGTCAAAAGTGAATATATTTTTCTTTTTGTTTCTTTTTCCTGAATAAAAAAAAACATTTTCAATTCATCATTCCAAATTGACAGCATGAATTTTTTTGTTGTTGTTGTTGTTGTTTATTTTATCCATTGTTATAATGTGCACAAATGATGTATTATCTGGACATTAAAACATTTTATCTTGATTGAAAATAATTTCATTTCACATGGATTTTAATTCGATGAAGTACTATGGTTTTTTATTCGCATATTGTATTTCGATAATTTATTTTACACCTATCGATTTGTTTTGATTGGACTATGAATCAATCAATGAATTCATGATTGATATATGAATTTCTTCTTTTTTTTTATTCTATCGCTTGGGACCGATGATTTTGATCGAAACATGATGGATGACAATGATAAAAATTCATTATATGATAGACGAATTCATTTGAATATGATCACATTTTCTAGATTGAATACAAACTTGATTTTTTAGATTTTTTTTGTTTTTGTTTTTGTTTTTTTTTTGAAAACAAAACAAGTCCATGTCGAACTTGTTTTTTTTATACAAGGTTAGAAAATGTTCAAAACTCGTTCATTTGTTTCAATGGTAATGATAATGACAGATATTCAATGAAAATTGAATCCATTGTATTATTACCTGAACTTGACCTTCGTCATTAGTTGTTTTGTTTCTTAACACTTTTGAATGTCGAAAATTTGCCTCATGTTATTGTTGGAGTAGCTCCACTTGTGATGTTAATCATGATTTCGGATACTTGTTCGGAAAATCATTAATGATAAACACAGAAAATTTGTTGTCTTACGACAGTTTTTTATTTGGTTTTTTTAACATCGATTATAAACAAAAAGTGTTCACGTCAAATAATACATGTTGGGATGTAATACATAGAAACGATTTTGTTTATCCATGGAATCGGCCATAAGCGCCTGGATAACCACCACCGAGAGCCAAACCACGATGACCAGCTCCATAAGCACCAAGACCAAGACCATGTGCACCGTAAGCTGGAGCAGCGTAACCAACCGGACTAGCACGAATTAAACCAGAGTGACCACCGTAATTTCCGTAACCACCAACCAAACCACGGTTATAGCCACCGTGACCATAATATTGAGCTGAAGCTAAAGCCAAAACGGCGAAAAAAACGATAGCGATGAATGATTTCATTTTTAGTTGTTGATTTTGGTTTGTTTTATTCGATTTGAATGATTGTTGTATGATTGAATTCGTTTGATGATTTTCCATTGATTTCAACAAGCTATATTTATACAAAAAAATTTTCCAATAGAATCGTTTGTATCATTCTTTAAAATGTAATTATGAATAGTTGTTAAAAACAACACATACATATCGAAACACACTCCCAATAATAACCTGCTACAACCACCAAAATTATCATTCATATGGCGAAAGAGAAAAAGGTGAAATGATGATGATATCCTTGAAGGTTCCATAGTAACAAAAAAAAATAGAGATAAATAGAATGTCAATTTTTATAAGAAAAAAAAAAATATAGATGTGTTCAAGTAGCCAAAGCAACCACCTACACCGTTAATCAATGGATGAATAAAAAAGAACAAATAATAAATGACCTTCAAGTATCATCTTCCTTAGTAATTTTCATCATTTTTTTTTGAATTATTTGAATCGTTCCAAAAGTTGTGGAACACACACACATATGGAATATTTCAATCATAATGATTATGGTAGTGATTATTATTAATTTAATCACTATATATGCATATAACAAATGGCCATGTTTCAAATTCTTTTTTTTGATTTTATTCTTCATCAATCATTTCTTAGTTACATTCAAACAAGAAAAGTATATTGACATTGTTCATTCCCCTTTTTTTCTTTATGTTCATTTTTTTCACTCATTCAAATTGACAATCAACTTAGCAGCAAGTTAGATAGGTTTTTTCTTCTTTTTTTCAAAAAAAAAAAGAAAAAATTAAACATAGTACACGTGTCAGGTCATTGAATAGACATTGTTTATTTGTGAAATATAAACACTTGCTTATGTTTCCTTGATCATCAACACGATCAACATTAACATCACATCATAAATGCTGAGTCAGCTTAAGGCCATACAAGATATATTGATTATATTTGATGGTAATGATGACGGCCAATGACCATTCTTTTTTTTGTCTGCTGTCATTATCATCATCATCATCATCATCATCATTGATCGTTTATTTTGAATCAATCGAAAAAAAAATCTCATTGTTAACTACAAAACAAAAAAAAATGAGAATTCTTTGATGAAATAAATTTCCAACATATCTAAATCTGACCTTATGAATGAAAACTTTTTCCATAATAATATGAAATAAAAGTCATGATGAAAACAAAAAAAAAATTATTCCCATCATGAGTTTTTTGGAATTTTTATCCATTCAAAAAAAAAAAAAAAAAATGAAAAGAAATCTTGAATTCATTGATTTACATACATATACAAACCACTCTCATTATGAATGTAGATTTCTATTTCTATTTTTTTTGCCCATATAACTCAGGCAAACAATATAATTTACGATAAAAAAAATATGGTTCGGCTTACAAATAGATTTGTGAATATTCTTTTTTTTCCCGAGGAAAGAAATGTTTTTTTTCCGACATTGATTTCTCGTAAACTTCTTGATAAATTTCCTTTTTTTTTCATTGAAGTATCTCATCTTAATTTTTAGTAGGCGGAAAAGAAAACAAAACAAAAAAAGAAAAAGAAGAAAAGTCCAAGATTTATTGTTATTGTCTTTTTTTCAGATTGTTATATCTTTGGTTTAGAAATGAATTGCTTTTGTCATTAGTAGTATCATCATCATCGATAGTTTTCTGGTGTGTGTGTGTGTGTGTGTGTAAAAAAAGTTTTCAACAAACAAAATGAAAGCCAATTTATGGATGTTTTCATTGGAACATACAACCAAATGGCTGTAAGAATTTTTTTTTCATTTCTTTTTTTCTTTGATATGATGGTATTTTTACACCATCAATGAAGAAGAATAAAAAAAAGACAATATATCGGGGGATACACACAAAACAATAAATTGACAAAACGACGACCACAACAGTAACAACAACAACAACAACAACAAGTAATAGTGATTAAAAGTCGATATTTATGTGGAAAAAAAGAAGAAAATTCCGGATAGTGATCATGATGATGATGATGATATGGTGTTAACAACAAATATAATGATAATAATTTGATTTTTATTTTTGTTTGTTTCTTTTATTTTCTATGGAAAAAAAGCTGAAAAAAACCCATATAAACGTCCCAATCAATATTCTGTAAAAAAAAAAATTCTGTATATGTGTGGGTATGGACCATGATTTTATTATCATCAATGGAAAAAAAGAGCAAAAAAAACTGTTGGACCATACTAAAATCAGAAAAGGATTTTCTTATCCACATTTTTTCTTATTTTTTTGTTGTTGTTGTTGTTTTTATCATCTTATTCATGAAAACGAAAAACAACAACAATAATAACGACTCTCTTGTCTTTTTTTTTCTCGTTGTCTTCGGCAAACTTGGAAAATTTTTCGTTTATAAATGTGATCTTTACAATCGAATCGATCGATCAATCGATGGAAATGTTTTTGGTTGTTGTTTTTATGCTACCGCTATTCTTTGACGATCTTTTTTTTCGGTGAAACATCATTTCAGACAGACGCTGTTTTTTTAAGCAAATCGAATTGATAAAGATTCTATTCTTCAGTGAATAGTTTTTGTATTGCCAATGGGTGGAAAGAATATAATTATTTAATTTTTTTATGCTCATCCACAATGCACACAAACACAATAAAATTGAACTAACATTATTACAATCAAATTCTCAAGTTTCAAGTTAGTAAGATATTTTGTTTTGGACACAAATGTTTTCTATTTTGAATCATTAATCTATGAGAATAATTAGGAATTTGTAATCAAACACACACATACAAATTTAATTATTGTAGATTCACTTGAATGTATATAAAATAAATAAATAATCGGATTGGTCAATAGTGAAATCACCGTCATGAAGTCTAAATTTTTATTTAAAGATAAGAAAGGCTTGGTAAACTATTGCAACAACAACAACAAAAAAATGGCCACAGCAACAGCAGCTAAAGAAATCTCAATAAAATTACTTGATTCCAAGGCAATGATGATGATGATCATCATCATCATAATCTGAAATCTAAAAGTTGAAAAGAAACTTTGATTAGTCTGAATTGTAATCAAAAAAAAAGGAAAAAAAAAAAAAAAACAGCAACAGCAGCTTTAAATTTGAAAGTAATGATTCCATCAAACGATCGAACCATTGTGCTATTTTCTTTTTTTTAAGTACTTTTTTTGTTGTTGTCTTTGTCGTCGTTTTGCCATTTCCGGATAATAATAATAACGTTTTTTTTCATAAATTTATTATAACCAACAATTGATCAAAAATTGGTCAATTAGAATTATGGTTTTTTTTCTTCTATGATGTGTCACGATTCATGGTTCCAGCGACAATTTTTATTTTTTGTTTTTATTCTTTAAAATATCGATTTAGAATCCATTTCATTTTCTTGCCACCACCACTCTCTCTCTCTCTCTTTTTACAATTCAATAGAATAATGAATTATATTTATTTCCGTATTAGCTCAAAGAATTTGTTGTTGTTGTGTGTGTGTGTGTGTGTGTGTGTGTGTTTGAATCATTTAATGTTATTCAAAATGTGACATTTAATAATAATCAAAACAATTGTTCATTTCAGTTTTTTTAATATAATTTTTGATCAAAAGAATCGTACGTGTGTATGTGTTCACATTAATCCATGATGGAAATTATTTTTCCTGTATAACCTTTTTTTGTGTCGGAAAATAACTTTCATCAGCTGATTTGACGTAATGTAGATTGTAGTAATTTCTAGTGTTCCTACGTATCATTTTTCTAAATTTTTTCCTCCGAAATATTTTTTCAGTTTATGATTAAATAATTTTCATTTTCGTTATTGACGCTGTTTTTTCGGATTTTTTTTCACCATAAATATACCAAAAATGGAGCATATCCACACACACACACCCACACCCACACAAGCATCCGAAAACATTGATTTTGTCAGGTTTCCTTTGAAAGTATTAGTTTTCTATTCAGACAGATTAATTGATTTATATGATGTTTTTCTGGAAAAAATTCTTATTGTTTTTTTTCTGATAATAAACAGGTAAATAATTCGGGTGAATTTGTTTAGTGGAAATCATTCCTATTCCATATTTCAAACTTTGAAGAATATTAATTTTGCTTGTATAATATTGAAATTTCGAAAAAGATTTAGATTAGAATTGAGTCTTGTGATTTGTTTTTCTTGAACCTGAATATAATAATTTAATTGATGAACAGGAAATTCTGAAACTTTGTAACACAACATCATTTGAAGTGTATTAATGATTTTCCGTTTTTTACCATAAGTTATATATGAACATAAAATATGTTTCTAATTGTATTCTTTGATCAATCACCATTATTTCTAATTTCATATCATTTATAATAGATACTTTTACCATGTTTAAAATATATAAACAAAAACCATCATCAGTTACAAATAACAATAATGTAATTTCCTCAAATTGAAAAAAAAATATCAAGTATCCACAAGATCAATTATTGTATTAAGTAAAACATGTTGTTGTTGTTGTTGCTGAAGTGGTCCCACTAGTAATTAGTTGATGGCTTTCTGTTACGTGTGTTTGTTTGTGTGTGTGTGTGTGTGTGTGTGTGTGTGTGTTCTTAATGATAATAATGGCAGAACAACAAAGTGGTTAATGGTATGGCCAATAAATAAAAAGTGATTATTAGATCGAAAAGCGACAACGATTTTCAACTATAGAAAAAACAGATCTGAAGCTTCTATGACATTATATACTTATATTGTCACAATTACAATAATCCATAATTGGTCAATATCTCGATTGGCCGCGATGAATATTATTCTATAAATTGTCTTTTTTTTATTATCGCTTAGATATAATTATGGATTTTATCGAAAATTATTTGTGTGTGTGTGTGTGTGTGTGTGCTTTTTGCTAATTGCTTTCATTCGAACAAACTTTTGTTCATTTTATAATAAAATAAATATGTTTGAAGACAACATTCTATTAACCAGAATATTTTGTATCCAGTCATAATGATGATTTAT